AGCCCTGATCTCTTCTCTTTCTCTTGTCCTCCTTCTTCTCCTTCTCCTCTCCATCTCTCCTCCTTCTCCTCTTCTTTTCTCTTCCTCTTGTCCCCTGCATTTGCATCTTGTCCCAATCTTGTAGCGTTCCTCTTCTGCTCAACTCGCTACCAAGACACCTTCACCCCCTTCCTAATGGACTTTTTAAAGTTTCTTTACTGAAACAGCGTTATTTTCTCAACGCTGAAAAGTTAAAGGTAGTCCTGTGAACTCAACTCATTAGCAGCAAAACGAAGCCCTTTTCCATGCCATGTCCTCGTGTCCTCTTCAAGGGAACTTCTCTTTGAAGGTATTTTCAGATAGTGACCCATCTGTTTGGGTTCTCTCTGGGGTAGCTTTGTCACGATGACTCAGGCTGCCAAAAAAACACCTGGTGACATGGGAATGGGGCACCACGCTGAAGCACAGCCAAAGGCCGTGACACAAGCCAGACGATGCTACCAACACAACTGCAAAGCATGTGAGGATAGGGCAGCTGGCTGTGGGGCTAGCACAGAAGAACGCCACTTGCTTCAACTCCTGTCCACCCCAATGTTGTGGGGCTTCCTTGCTTCAGAGGTCTGGTGGGTGTCACACATGGAAGACAGGAGTAGCTGCCTCTTCATGAGGTTGGCAATCGCTGTGAGCTGGTGCAATAGGAAGGGGTAAAAGATGGAGGAGTCTGACTCTTTCCATGTAGCCCTGTCCAGTTAGTACCTGCTGGTTGAAGATGCCATCGTTGCAGTGCTTGTACCAGAATATTTTGCAAAATATCACAGAATGGTTTAGATTTGAAGGGACCTTAAAGATCATCCAGTTCCACCCCCCCTGCCCTGAGCAGGGACACCTCCCACCAGCCCAGGTTGGTTACCCTGCATCCATTCTCCTAGCAGTTCGGCTGCTCTTGGAGAAGAGCAATTGAAACTCAAGGCTCCAGCAGGTCTCCACCAAATCAATAGTCCTTTGAATCAATAGCCTTTGAAATATAAGATGTTGCTTCCAAGTGAGTGAAAGCTGATCTCCTGAGCTGTGTAGCTCCTTTGCAAACCACCTTCCATGGAAAACTGCACGCTTTTCCCTCTCTGAAGCATTTAGAAGATTTTTGTGGTGGGTTTCTTTGGGAAGCTAAGCTTCCTGCCCAACGTACCCCCCTCCTTCTGAGCCGAGAGTCGAAATCCTTGCGGCTTCTGTGGCTCCGGGGGCTATTTTTCTCATTATAATTGAAGGACAGGGTGTTCTCAGCAGCCCAGTCTCATCTTCTCAACATTAATCCTTTTTTTTTTTTTTTTAAATAAAAAGACCAGGTGACTCCTGGATGGTTTTTTTTCTACTTTTGAAATGAGATTGGGATTAGACATGTTTTTTTGTTTTTTCCTATTAACTATCGTGAGCTTAATAATAAAAATGACTGTTTGTAAAAATACTAGAAATGACCTGGAGCTCCCCAGCTTTACATCCCAAAAATAGTTCTCACAGTTACCCCGTTTGGCAGAAACACCGGCGCAAGGGCAGGACTCAGGCAGGTTGAACAAGGAGGACAAGTTTGCAGGATTCATTCTCCAGGTGGACAACCGGGTGACCCAAAATGTAAGCCTTAGAATTTGTACCTCGGCAACTCGTTTTGGTGCGTCGGCACATTTAACGCAAAATTAATCCCCACCTTCCCGCGTTCTCAAACTCTCCCGAATCCTCTGCCTTATGAAGCACGACAGGGGTGGGAATGGAAAATGGATCGAAATTCTCCTGTGGCATTAGGTCAAAGTCTTGCATTAGCTAATTGTAGCCGCCTGATTGTTCTATATTTAAACAATTGTGGCAGTGATAACATCATCCAACACCAAATAAAATCACTGCTGCCTTCTTCCTTACAGTAATTTCCTTTTCTGTACTTACTTTGAAGCTGTGCAGGTGCGTATAGGGAAGCAAGTTACTTCCCCAGACTCTCCATCGTGTGCCCAGGCATCCCTGAAAAAACAGTAATTGAGGAAAGAAGTAGCTTTTTTTAATGAAAGACGCAAAAATTAGGTAGTCAGAATCCGTGGTATTAAAATGCTAATACCATAAGGGGACCCATTGGGATTTATTCCTACTACCCTATATTGTAAGATATTGGAATTTATTTATCTGAGCCTCCACCAGGTGGTTGTGTTTATTTTTATCACTGTACAGATTAACATTAGGAAAATAGGAATGTGTTTCAAGGAAGTTTAGAGTGCTAGATAACCTTTTTATTTTCTTTGCTTTTTTTTTAATGTTTCACATCCCAATTGACCAGGAAACGTTCAAATGTGCTACTGGAGCTACTTTGTTGGTTCCGCTGTTCATTATTATTTGTCTGTGGACAACCTGACCTTAAAAGTTACAGGCCGAAAGAAAAAAGTCTGATCTGTAATATCTAATAGGGATTTGCACGGACTTTTGCTTGAAATAATTTTGTGGCAGCTGATTGCGCTTCTCTATCACCCGATGGACAGGTCTGATGGGAAACCACACAATCTGGATTATCATCGAAATCAAGGGGGATAAGTTCTCTAGAAGTATATTCTTAGTCATATTAAACCTTAATTTTTATTTTTATTTTTTTCAAGTTTTGGTAAATTCTGCTCAGCCCAGATTTTACCTTAACTTTCATCATGTCTTCATGTCACCTCACGCCTCTCCCTGCTCCCGCTGAAACAGCCTGGTTCGGTTTAGGTGGGATAATACCAAATAACTCAGTTCAAACAGTTGAACGAAAGCCCATACGCCGTTTATTCAAAATGAAACAAACAAAAAGAACCCCAAACCGAAAAATGTTTTTATGGCTTTCATTTCATAAATGCAGAATTTCTTTCTGCTTTGAGCTCTGGTCAAACCACATATCGAAGGCAGTTCCCTGTAGCACCAGTTCAAATAAAGCTCTAGTGTGTAGGTGGGGAAAACTGTTTTTATTTTAATGTGGGTTGTTTAGGTCTTTGTACCCTGAACGTTAAACGGCAAACGCAGGCATTGCGCAAAGTTAATAATTACGAGTCTCAGTGTGAAATGCAGAATAGTGCCTTTGGAAGAGGAAAAGTTTCATGTGGACTTCGAGGTTCTTGTGGCTGCAGGGAAAATAAGAAGCCACAAATCTGGGGACTGAACCCCCAAGTGGTTTTAAAGCAGATGGATAACTACATGCATACATATATACATATGTGCCTATATATATGCATTTAGATGTATACACACACACACACACACTTGAGCCCACCAATATTGCGCCAAAAGCAGTGAATACAAACCTGCTCATGAGACCCTGGAGCAGCAAGGTGCTTCTCTGAAAGCAGTAGCAAAACGGTGGTAAAATTAAGACATTTTTCTCCCCTGGTATTTGGTGAAAGATGAGAGGAATCTGAGCAAGTTCAACCCATCTTCAGGTTTTTCCTAACTTTATTAAAATCATAGAATCATAGAATCGTCTAGGTTGGAAGAGACCCTTGGGATCATCGAGTCCAACCACCTCCCCTACTCTACAAAGTTCTCCCCTACACCATATCCCCCAACACCACATCTAAACGGCTCTTAAACACATCCAGGGATGGTGACTCAACCTCCTCCCTGGGCAGCCTATTCCAAATCTTAAACCGTGTCAACACAAACGATGTTCCGTGAGGTTCTGCAGCTTCTTTTCTGGCAAGCAAGCGGGCAGGCATGGTTTATGGTGGTGACGTGGGTGACGATGTCTGTGTTTTGGGCCATTGTAGATGAAACCGCTGAAAGAGCACGAATAAATCAAAGAACTTACAATGAAGACTTTGGCCGTAGATGAGTGGGTTCTCATTTATTAGGGTTTATTTCTGAAGCACTTGTAGTGGTGTTGGGAATGTCTTTGCCAGCTGAGAATCGGCCTTTGGGGTTTGGTTTCCCTAAGCTATGTGTCTTTGTTGACATTTGAACACCAGTTTGATTTCTGGCAAAGATGGGATGCTGAGGATATCATCCCCCCTTGCGTTTTCCCCATTACATGAACAAAGCAAACATGGAGGAAACTGTTCAAGGTTATGGTACGCAGCCTGGGAAAAGCATGGAAGGTGCTGTGTCTCGTATCAGCCCACATTTCGGTCGCCAAGAAAATCTAAAAATAGATATTACATTAAATAAATTGCGGTGGCATGAACGTTGGCTCCTAACCTAAAAGGCAAGCTGGGTTTCTGATGGGGCTTGACGACAGACAAGCCGCTTGTCTGCTGGCTGAAGCCGAATTCCTGCAAGAAAAGCAAAATAGAAGTCGCCAAATGGCACCTCTTACTATAAAGGGGGAAAAGCATTTAACTGGCAATATTATTGCAAGCAGCTGCTGGGGGAATTTAGCAAAGAGGTCTGGTAGGTCAACAACGAGGTTCCTTTCTCGTTTGGTGGTGACTAAGAGGGGATGGCCAAGATGGAAAGGATGGCTGCGTTCCAGCTGCCTTTGGGATGGGTACCGGTCCCTCGGGGCAGGCTGGGGATGGCTCAGGGTTCAGAAGTTACCAGGGGAACGCCAGCAAACAAGCAAACAATTCCCTCCAACCCCGTCCGGGGAAAATCAGGCTAAAAATAGGCTGCTGAGGCTTAAGGTTAAAAGTAAAGACGTGACCGAGCAGTGCCGTTGAAAAGGCAGCTCCGCTCATCCTCTACAAACATCCAAGGACTGCATTTCCCTGCCAGAGCCGGTGCGTTTCTTACTAGCTATGGAAACAGACTTTGTGAAAGTTGTGCATTTGCTCACAATGTCTTCCGACGTGAGCGTAACGCTGACAGTTGGGTTCTCCCTAAAACCCAAGGAGGCTTGGGAATGGCTTTTCAACTTAGCAATAGGCCAAGCATTTAGAAATCTGGTTCAAGTGAATGTGATGACTGAAGAGGTGAGAGGACTTGTTTGAAGCGGTGGGATTAGCAGGTCTCCATGCGGTGGGGCTGTCACAGCTCGGCGGGGGGATGTGCCCTGCTTCTAACCGTTGCGTTTGCCCGCTTTACCCCAGGTCCAGCTGAAAAGCGAAGAATCGAAAACGTTTGCCATGAAAATACTGAAGAAGCGTCACATCGTGGACACGAGGCAGCAAGAGCACATCCGCTCGGAGAAGCAGATCATGCAGAGCGCGCACTCGGACTTCATCGTGAGGTACCGTCCCTCCGCCTTTGCGCGCTGCTGTGGGGGAGCGAAGCACAGCCAATCTCAGCATTTCATAACACCACACATGGATCATCCATCACTAGAAAAACCTTTTAACCACACCTCCCCTGCAAGGGACTTCAGAAACAGGGCAAGGAATAAGGTCTCCTCTGGGCCAATGTGAGATTACCCTGCCCATGGGGGACATCTGCCGTGTCTTAGCGGGTTTGCTTTGTCCCCGTGCTACGTTCATGTGGCTCCGGGTGCGAGCACAGCCCCAGCCCGCAGCGTGGGCAGAGCTTGCCGATGCCAGCAGGTGATGCTCCATGTAGACGCACACGGCATGATTCGGCCTCGCCCCCGCTCAAGGTCAATATTCCTCTTTTTTCCGCATTTCTGAATTTTCCTTCCCACAAAGAGAAGCTGGAAGGCAGGGTTTAATCTTTTGAGATCACACGCTGCCACGTGAATAAATAGTTGTATCCAACGCTTCTCTTGAGGGTGTATTCGATAGATCCAGCTCAGTGTCCCTTGACTCATCGTGGGCAAGTGCACTAAAACCTAAGCAGATGCAGTTCTTCAGTGAATAAAATCTGGTGCCGGGCATTTTTTGTGTGTTTTAACCCTAATAGCAGAGTTACCCGACCCTATAGTTGAGGTCGGGATAAGAGCAGTGGGTGGTGAGGACTTCTGGTGGGGCGATGCATTTCACCCAACTGGAGGGACCTAAAAGGGCAGCCGCTCGCCTGAGCCAAGGGTGCGCCTCCCACCCTGGAAGAGATGCCTTTGGCCGGAGGACATCAACCCCGCTCCCAAAAATTGCTGCCGGGAGACATAGTAACCCGGGGGCGAAATCAAATCCCCTCCATAAAAACACGAAGGCCCAAGCGCTTGGGCGGGGGAAGGCCACCCATCAGTCGCTAAGGGGGTGTTTCCTTCCCGGGCTGATCCCTGGGATTCCCCGGAGCTGGCGGCTTCGCCTCTGATTCATGGGTGACAACTGCAGCCCCGACGCCCTGCCCGGCTGCCGTTTCCTTCACGCTCTTAATATTCGATTCGCGACCGAGCCCCCGTTACCTAGGCTAGAGCCAAATCTATCCCTATTTATAGGCTATTTCAGACTATAGATTTATTTTCTGAAGCTTGCGCTGGTCTCGGGATGGGGGTGTAAAGGGAGGTGAAGCGCGGGGCCAGCCAAGTGGAGGGACGTTTTGACACCGTTTCCAGAAATACTTCCTCCTAAATAAAAAAGCTGCAAATGTTTCCTGACAGAGCCGCTGATAGTCATAGCTAATAAAAGAAATAACTCTCCTTTCCCACTTTTTATTCTTCCAGTAGACAGGTGGAAAAAAAAAAGGATGTGTTAGCCGGAGGTCTTTTCATCCCATATCACGCACTATTTCCCATCCTTTGCAGTAAGAAGCCTCACTTAACTATTTTTAATACCCCATGGAAATCCTGCTCTGGGAAGGGACTTTCTAAGTCATAAAGTCCAACCTTTTGCTATCGCATGTCCCACAGCTAGAAAATCCTCTCCCCCTCTGGTTTATCAAACTCTGCATCTGCATTTCCCCCTCATTACTCCTTTTGCGCATCCGTGAGGATTTGAAGTTGTTATAACTTCTATCCTAAAATTATCCGTAATCTGTTTATGCCCTTTCTTGGGCCAGCTGGGATAATATTTTTCTGGGAATCGTATCGCTTCAGTAGATTAATCGTGTTTTGAGATGTCATGTGAAAGGTGGGTTTAAAATTATCTTGGAACAAGGATGCGGCCCCTGGGATATCAGAACGGGAAGGGCAAAATTACCAAAGAACTCGATTATTTTCGTAATTCATCATGAAACAGTTTGTTAAAAATCTTTGAAGAAATAGTTCAGTTTGGTTATTAAAATGCATTCAAGCGGGTAAAAGAAGCAGAAAAGGCCAAGCCCCACTGAATAAAAATTTACTCGTAGATAAACTAAGAATCTCGGAGAGCAAAACGCTCCGGGTTTGGTAAAGGGCCAAACAAGTGTTGAGCAGGATTTGCAAATATTTAGATGAGTAAGAAAATAAATAAATAAATAAATAAACCAAATACTGTGACATTTCAAACTTAAGGCTGCTTGATCTACTAAAATAGTGTGGTTTCATCATATATAAACTTTATGCTTCCATTATAGGAGATAAATAATATTTTTAATTTTTTTTTTTTGCATGTTTTAGGCCAGATCTGATCCCTGTAAAATGTTCTGAAAAGCAGTTTCTCCGCAGGGCTGCCTTAACTAGAGAAAGTAAAGCCTTATTTCAATAGCATTTAAATCACCGAGCAATTAAAAATACTTAATTACTCATATTCTGGATTCTTGAATATGTAGATTTCTTAATACAGGTGAAATGTTTATTGAAATCATATTGGAATATATTGAAATATATTGTGTCCAACTGGCAAGAAATAGGATTTTTTTTTGTTAAACCCATAAATTTTAACCATGTGAAAGGGTCAGAAAGTTTGTTCCAACTTTTTCTGAGCAGCGCGTTATAACTGAGGTTGTAAACGTCAGTGTAGGTAATAGTAGAGCACGGAAAGATCTGAAACACGGGTTCAATTTTTTCCCTTTAAATTTTGTTGCGGCTGCAGATAGTACCTTTTAGCTGCGGAAGATTTCCCGGGTAGATCAGCCCCCAGCGTATTCGGTCCCCCAAACTCCTGCCTACGTCGCAGCTGCGCCTTCTGGGATCTTTTGCTGTTAAACGTGCCAAAAATATAGCGGGTAACTGCTGCTAAGCTGGGTGCTGGGTGCTACGCAAACACAGACAGGTGCAAATGTTGTCTCGCGTCGTGATGTGAAAGCGTATCGGAGGCAGGCTGGAGCTGCCGGGATGTTTTGCCACCTACCCGAAGTTAATATTTAACGGAATGCCTTCAAAAGGAACCAAATCCTGCTGTGTTTTCCCCCTGGCCCATCACGCAGCGCCGTAAAAGATATAAATAACTGGATTTATCGCTAGCTGGGAAGAGCTAGAATCTGCAAAACCCCCTGTTTTCATTTATATCATGTTGCATCAGCCCTTTAATTTTAAAGTCTTGGATATTCTCACAAATGGAGCGATTACACCACAACAGAATATCCCTCAGCATCCCCTTCTGCTGCAGAGCTCAGATTTTTAAAATTAAATGCTAAACACTGCAGCTGCAAAGAAACCTTTCCAGTATCCACATAGGGCGGTCTCGTTCCTGCAGGTAACCTGAACTGATATACCCACACACATAACGAGAAGTACAAAAGTAGTTCATCGTTAAAATTAAATAAAGCAGTTAATACTGAAATTTCTGTATTTAACTCCCATCATTCCGTAGTTGCAGTTGTTTAATGTATCATATCAGAGAATCATAGAATGGTTTAGGTTGGAAAGGACCTTGAAGATCATCCAGTTCCAACCCCCCTGCCATGGGCAGGGACACCTCCCACCAGCCCAGGTTGCCCAAGGCCACGTCCAGCCTGGCCTTGAACACCTCCAGGGATGGGGCCTCAACAACCTCTCTGGGCAACCTGTGCCAGTGCCTCACCACCCTTACAGTGAAAACCTTCTTCCTAATGTAATAATCTAAACCTGCCCTCTTCCAGTTTACAGCCATTCCCCCTCGTCCAAAATAGAGCACAGGTTTTACTGAACAGTTTAGATGGGACTTGAGAAGGAGGACAGGTTCATAAACCCTTTAGTCACACTCCCCTTTCAGTCCCTGGGAAGAAGAGGATGAGTGCTTTTAGATGCCTACATGTCAGCAGGTTGTCTTTAAGCTGTCCAAATCAGTGGGTTTAAGTTCTGTCATGAAGCACAAATTGGGCGACGCTCCTTCGAGATGGTTAAATGGAAGGCAGACTGCAGGTCTGCAGCCGGACTCTGTAGCGTGAAGAATAAGATGGTATGGACGTTATAAAAAAGGGTAGGAGAACTTCTCTTTCAAGCACATCTGGAAAGCCAGGTGTCAGGTTGTGCCATGAGAAATGGTAGATTTTATACGTAGCACCCGGAATAGTGGTGACCTCTTCTTCTGAGGTCTGCGATACACTTCACCGCTCAGATGCCCATCCTTTTCTGCTCAAATATTTCCCACCTGAGAAGAGACATGGAAATGATACTCTTAAATGTAGCACTAGCTCTGAAGGATACTCCAGGATGAAGGCTTGGGGGTTGGACTAGATGATCTCCAGAGGTCCCTTCCAACCCTGACCATTCTGTGATACTTGCTGGGATGAAGTGCACAGTCCGTGAGAAGCAGGAACACTTGGGGCCTTTGCTTGTATGGTGGGTTTATTCCTGATTTTCTTGTTTGCCAACGACAGGCTCTACAGGACGTTCAAGGACAGCAAGTACCTGTACATGCTGATGGAAGCCTGCCTAGGTGGAGAGCTCTGGACAATTCTCAGGGACAGGTGAGTTTTGAGAAACGTGAAAAGCAGAATGTTTTCTAATATGCCTCCGGATAACCAAAGGTCTTTATCTTTCACGGAAAAATCTGCATCTTACCATGCTACGTTTAATTTAAGAGCCCAGAAAGGCGAGGATATATTTTTTCTCCTACGCATTTAACTAGAGACAAAGCGAATCCAGTCATATGTGACCATAAAGACTGATGTAGGTTTCATCCAACACGTACAAAGCTTTGTGCAAGTGGAGGTGTACCCACAGCTACTTTCTCATGGCCTCTCTGAAAAAATATAACGGTAGTGATGGTAGCGATGGTGGCCACGTGATAAATAGCATCGACAAGTCTTTGACTGCCCTTTCCCCATATCTCGATCTCTGAAGGGTACCCCTAAATAACCGGCAGCATATTTTAATTTTAATTCAGTTTATTTATTTATTTATTTATTTATTCCCTAGAACAATAACTTTTTACAACCTCAGGAATCGCGGCTGTGTCCTCGGTGCCCGTGCTACCGTTTCTCATGTTTGAGAGCCTGGCTGGAGGCTCAGCCACTTTATAGAGATACATCAGACTGTCCTAAGGGTGACAAAGACTTTGGGCACCACGTCTGATGGCAGAGAATGACCCTGCAGGGTGCGACCAGGCGTTGCAGGAGGTGCAAAGTCAAGGCCAGTCTTGCTGAGTTCTTGCAAGACATGATCTGGAGATGTGGTCCTTCCACTGCGGGACCTTTAGGCATTGCTGTCATGGCCATTATAGACTCTGGACTTCAAAACCAAAGCCCTAAGGTGGCAGTGGTGTTAGGGACATTCACAGTTGCGAATGAAATCCATGGGAAAGTGCGTTTTCAAGGTGAAAAATGCAGACTTCTTCAAAGACTTCTGAAAAATCACAGTTTCCCATCCCAGAGAAAGACCTCTTGTTTTCATCTTAGTGTTTGCTCCTCTGCCCACCCACCTCTATCACAGAGGAAATGTGATAAACAACGTCTATTAATATTTCTGAATATCGATGACGCGGTCAGGTATGATAGCGCTGAGCGGGAGGAAATCCCTAGTTCTGCGTGGGCTTTTAGTCCAGGTATCGCACGTTAAATGAGTGGCCGCTCATCAAAAAGTGGGAAATGGCATCGTGCATCAAAGCCACACCCTGCAAGGAGCGCTACGCGGTCGGGACACAGAAATGCCATGGAAAAAAAATAGGAAAGCATGTAATTATATACAGTATTGTATATAATGCCAGAGTTCCTGGTGTTTCCTGCCCTGGGAGGGTTTCACCTGGCGGCGTTGGGTTGTGGTTGTGTGGGGGGAGGTGGCAGGTGGGTTGCGTGGATGGACGTGGGATGTGCACGCAATACGCCTGTGGGGCAGGAAAAGATGCGGTGAATCACGTGTAGCTATGTGATAGGCTCATCATCGGAACGTAACTTAATTAAATTTAATTAAAAGTGAAAGAAATGCATCGGGAAGATTGACCTGAAAGCAAAGATTCATTTCTTTTTTGATTACCTAGAACGAATTTTTTGTAGTTCTTCCTTTTTCTAACAGCGTGCCTTCTCCGGACCATTAAAACGAGAAGCGTAGCAAAGTTAGCAGGTGCCAGGTGGTATTTTTCCTCCTCTTTGTCAGAGCTTGATAATTTCGTCTTTAAGTCTCTGGGCTTTAAATTGTGGTTCTGCTGCCACCTAGCTTAGATGCGCCTCTGAGCTCCGCCAGCTCCCACTGCGGGCTCCCAGCAGGCAGGGGGTTATGGTTTGCATCGGAAAACTGGTTGCAAACTGGTGCTGAAACGAGGATCCAAAAGTGCAGTTGATGCTGAATTTGCAATTAACACTTCAGGTCCCAGCAACTGTGATTTTACTGCCTTTTGTCTCGGTTATGAATATTAATTAGTACGGGAGTTCTTGATGCCCACAGCTCCAAATAGCTTTATTACCCGAAAGTCAAGGATTATAATAAAAAATCACCTTTTACTTAGAAGGAATTTGTAAATTTTACTTCTATGAGATGTAATTGTTGAGTAAAACTAAATAATTTTATATTAAATAAATAAAAGTATCCTAGATTTGCATGTTTGATATGAAGGTGGATCGAAGGCAAAGATGCTAACTTCACAAATGGAAATGCAATTAAATTTATATATAAAGGTGAGTTCAGGAAGAGGCACTTCCCAGGTATTAGAGTGATGTTACTGAACTGTATATACATTTTAACCGTAGGATGAGGTCCAGTAAGGGAAAAGATCTACTAATCGCTTTATCCCCTTTCCCTCTCTCGTTTTACACAGAGGTTCGTTTGAGGATTCGACAACCAGGTTTTACACGGCGTGCGTGGTCGAAGCTTTTGCCTATTTGCATTCCAAAGGGATCATTTATAGGGACCTCAAGCCAGAAAACCTCATTCTGGATCATCGAGGTTATGCCAAACTGGTGAGTGCCTGCAACATCTGGTTTGGCCAAAAAAAAGTCACCGCTACTACCGGACAACTGGTGTTAGGGGTAGAGGAGAACATAAGATTAGAGGGTCAGAAGGGAAGTCCACCCACCACCAGGCTGTTTTCCCAACCTCCAGCAGACTGAGGAGGCTCAAGGTACAGCTCAGGTGGGAAACACTAATTCTGGCTTGAAATTGAGATGTGTGGTCCTGAAGGGGAAGTGTTTAGAGAAGAGCATCAAGAGAAATCCACCCAGCTGTTTTGGAGCTACCAGAAGACGTGAAAATAGGTGTCCTAAAATACTGGTGGGAAAGGGGGAGGACTTGGATATGTGGGCTTTAGAGGCGACTGGTGAAACAGGTTTTGCACACTGCTGTTTCTGTGTCAGGTCCTTTGTGCAAGCAAGAAAAAAAGGTGTTCTTAATGGAAATATTAATCATGACCCTGTCATGCCAAGAAATTATTATTATTCATTGCCCTGGACTGTGGTGTTGAACTGTGGCCAACGCAGCTCCTTGCTTTATAAGGGCCACTTGTGTTTTAGCACCAATAACACCAAGACTGATCTGTGCAAACTCCTCTGGGACAATGGCGTAAGGTTCTGCCTGAAACTGCTCTTCCCAGAAGGTCATGGTCCTTCTCGCTGCTGTCCGCCTGTAAGATCCACCTCCTCAAACCAGGGCGGCAGCATGTGCAAGACCTCCACCCCCAAAATTAGGGAGTTACTGATGGGTTTCACGGTGTTGGTTTCTTCACTCATATTTTTTGCCTCAAAAATCACTGTAGAGGTGCCCTGCATGTAAGGTACACTCCAAGTTCCTGGTGAAACCGTGGAAGAAAAGGAAGACTTGCCTTGGTGGGAGGTGTTGGAGGGTGTGGGCACTTGGGAAGCCATCAGTGAAGGACGGGGCAGTGCACTTCTAAAAAGAGCTGCGTCCAAGAGGGGCTGATGCCCTCCCTGAGAGTCACAGATGGGCCGAGGTCTCTGCCTCTCAGCCTGGGGACTCTTCCCTGCCTTTGGGAAGGGAAACTCGGGAGCAGTGTCCACAGGTAGGAGCAGTAAAGTCAAACCATCACCGTCATGGACCTTTGCAGCATGGTGGTAGCCACCGTGTGTCACCGTGACACCAAGCCTAACAAGTGACATCAGATTTTATCCTCTACAGCATTTTGCTAAGGCTGGGGGGGTCCAGCGAGGTGTCCGACGACTGAATAGGATTAGGTGCAGGATGGTCCTTCTCTCTGCCCCAGGAGGATCTGGACTGCGGTTTGTGCTGGTCCCATCACCAACTCCCATTAGAGCTTAGACATTTTGACATTTTGATCTTCGTGGACGCAGCCGTGATAGCAGGAGAAGTGTCCCACATCCCTTGTTGGGGCTGTGACCCCATAGGACATTTTGCTCCGTACCAGTTCAAGGTGTAGGAGCATCTCATGGCCATCAAGGGACAGCAGTGGGTGCTACAGACCACAGCTCTGGGCCAGCACAACGCCGAGGCAGGGGAGGGCAGAGCGGGTAGAGCTAAAAATACAGTAAACCTATTAATCTGGGCTCTGCCTGGGACGGCTTCCCAGTATAATCTGATTTTGCATAGTTGCCAGTCCTATAGTGGCACTGCTATAGGGGAACGCTGAGGTTTGTGAGCCTGATGTTGTACCAGCCTCGGGTAAATTGGGAGAATTGGGAGGCTGCTTATTGTGCTGCATGGCTCTCTGTACTGGGAGAGAAATCTAAACTTTTCAATAGATGCCAAAATGGTCGGTATTTAGCCTAAGTAGTTGCTTGCTCAGGTAAAGGCTGGGAGTTTAAAAATAATAATAATAATAAAAAAAAAATTTAAAGCAAACCAAATCAACCTGTGAAAGAAACCCTCGGTGTTGGCATATGTTCTTCTTCCCTCGTGAGAATCTTCCTTCTGTATTACGAAGGCTAAATCGGCAAAAAGGTCACTGCGGTCGCCTGGTTCTGGAACGACCCCCGATGCTTTAGCTAGGGGAATGTTCCCACGAGGAAACCTCCTTTCTGCTTTGCTTCACTTCAAGAGGAGCGGAGCGCACGGCTGACATTCCCCCTCGTGCTCTGCCCTGATGGTACTCTGCTCCTTTCTGCAGGTCGATTTTGGCTTTGCAAAGAAAATAGGATTTGGAAAGAAAACATGGACTTTTTGTGGAACCCCGGAGTACGTAGCCCCCGAGATCATCCTGAACAAAGGTCACGACATTTCGGCAGACTACTGGTCACTGGGAATCTTAATGTATGAACTCCTGACTGGCAGGTATGGGCATCGGGGCCGGCCCCGCTGGCTGGAAATAGATCTGAATATTTCTGCCGTTGTCACCCTGATTAGGCGAGGGGAAGGTTCAGAGCTGGCGTGTGCTGTAGCGGCACAGCGCCGCGCTGTTCAACCTAATAATTAGTTTTTCCGCTTTAAATCGCAGCTTCCATGCAGACCTCTCGAAGGGCAAGGCACAGGCAGGCTTTTTAGGAAATGCTGTGAAATGACACCAAAAAATTCATTTTTGGCCCTGAGTGAGCTGAAGAGGGTGGGAAAAGGGAAAGGGTTTGGAATTCAGCTAGGGAGGTGCAGTGAGGGGTTGCCACGCGTCTGAAAAGGAGGAGGTAGACCTGACACTATGGGGATTTGAGTCCCCATGTCCGTCCCTTCCCTTATTTAGTTTTGGATGGTTATATTACTGCTGATGTTGGCAGAAGTGGCTTCCTGGCACTTCCTCACCTCATCCCCTGTTGTGCGCTGCCGGGATACAGGAGCTGGAAGAGGATCCATCACCTCAACCTGCTCATCCTTTGGGGCTAGACCCAGGCCCCTGTCCTGTTAAACCAACGGAAGCCTTGTTAATGCCCACTGAAAGCACGTCACAAAATCAAACAGAGAATTAGCCAGCGAGCATTGCTTGGTGCCTTGTTCCTCAGGCTGCTGGGACATGGGCCATCATGGAAAGGAGAGGTTGAGCATATGCTGCTGCAGAAAACATGACTTTGTACTCTTTGGTATCCAACATCACTAAAATCCAGATGGTATCAGAGCTACTTGGCTGAGAAATGGTTGAGATCACAGAAAGCAAAGCCTAGGTGCCTTTTCTCGTTCCAGTAGGGAACTGTTTTGCTTTGTTTGGTTTTGTTGTTTTTTTTTAATCAATCTTCAATGCCATTTTGGGAACTGTTTTGCTTTGTTTGGTTTTGGCTTTTTTTTTAATCAATCTTCAAGCTTCAAGAGACAAGCTTTTAATCTTCTTTATTTTCCTCTCCCCTCTGAAGTCCCCCTTTCTCAGGCCCAGACCCCATGAAGACCTATAACATCATATTAAGGGGAATAGACATGATTGAATTTCCAAAGAAGATTGCCAAAAATGCTGCTAATTTAATTAAAAAACTATGCAGGTAAACACATGAGATATAACCATCGTGATCTTATTTGCAAAGAAATCAGTTGTTCAGAAGGATTAAGAAAGTAACTGATTTTCTTATTCATTTTATAGGGACAATCCATCGGAAAGATTAGGGAACTTGAAAAACGGAGTGAAAGATATCCAAAAGCACAAGTAAGTGTCTTCTCCACCGTCCGTCAGATCCAACCCACAGAAACGCGCATTTCAAGCACTTCTATTTTCTGCAAAACAATACTCTTCTTAAACTCATTTGGCCTTTCCCTTCTAGTGTGCTTTAGGCTGAAATTCCATCAGACTTCTTTTCCCCAGCGTTTTGGTATAGCCGCCAGCCTTTCCCGTGAGCAAAACACGTTGCATGTTGACCACCACGCTTTAACTACACTAATTGCAGAAGAGCGTTTGGAAGCAATCCAACTGGGCCACCGCCTGCTTGGATTTTTTGGGTTTGCAGAATCACTTTCCAAGTTTTTCCTCGATTTCCCTTCCACTCCCCGCCCAACACACTTTCTCTCTACCCGTAAAGTTAATTCATCATCCCTTTTGTCTGATGGGAGAGAGTTGTTAAGGGGTGTCCAATAAGTGTTCATGCTGCTGGAGGGGAACAGGAACAAGTTAGAGATGTCTTGCAGAAGCAGGTTATCTCATCCATCCATGCTGGTCCTTCTCTTCTCCCATCCTCAAAACAGCAGAAGTGGACAGTTTGGGTGGATGGGTTGAAGGCTCAGCTGGGGGCTCATCCACCCACCTGAGCTGCCGTAGTCCGAGCAAACCCAAAGTGCCTGGACCGGGAGGAGGACATCCCTGTGCATGCCCTTAGCTCCCAATGAAGAAAGGACATTAGGGGTCTCATATGGGAGAGATCAACCCAGGACACCTGCAGTGAGGAACGGTTTTCTTCTGAGCGTTGGTAATTTGTACTTGCCATGGTATCACCACACCCTTCATTTTCAGTCCCAAAAAACATATATAAAGATGACAGGAAAAATTATTACGGCTAATTGGACAGTTTGAAGGAGATGACTTCAGGAGATGAAACCCACTGTTTAAGCAATTTGAGTTTGATTTTGTGCTTGAGAGAGATTTTCACCGTATATCTAACTGTTGCATTATTCCCTCCCTTCTAGATGGTTTGAAGGCTTTAACTGGGAAGGGTTACGAAAAGGGACACTGACACCTCCTATAATACCAAGTGTAAGTTTTCCTACGTATTTTTGTCTTCCTGGCCAGTAAGTTTCTTTTACATGAACATTGTGAGCTTCGAGCACTTACACACTGGAGTTAAGTGGCGACAGCATGTACTTTGTTTTCTTCTGAAGACGCTTGAAGAAGTCACGTTAGAGACATTTCCAGCTATACTTGGTCTCCTGGCAGTCTCTTCCAGGGGAAGGCGGTTTGGGGAGGGCATGACTGCAATGAAATGCTCTTTGCAGCAGGAGATCAGGGCAGGATCACTCACTACTACACGTTTTTCTCTTCCTCACCTGCTCCACTTGTTTCTTCATCTACTTTTCACGTTTCAGTGGAGAGCTGCCACTTTTGCCCCTTCTCTTAGATGTGTCCTCTTTCTTTCTCCTTTATTCTTATTTCTTTTGACGAGGTAAGTGGGATTTGTGTGCCATCTCCCTTTTCTTTGGCGTTAACCTTTCCCTCTGTCTTTTCTTTTGTGCTTTTCACCCTTTTTTTTCCCTGCGTCCCTGTCCTACATGAAAAGCCCTGTTACCGCCTCGTTTATGTTTAACTGGGAGCAGCCGCGGAGGGACAGCTCGACTCATTTTCCTTTGGAGCAAAGCTCTTCCTTTGATGTCTTTGTGAGCTCTTTACCCACAAAGCCTGCCGCAAAGGGAAACCAAACAGGATTAGCTGATAGAAATTACCTTGGCCCCTTCTGTTCTGCAGCCTCCACTCCTTGTTTCGACTTAATCCCTTTCTCTCTGTGCCTCTCCGGCGGGATCACCGAGAGAATGACATTAGCCATCGTGTTTAATTGCACCCCGTAGCTCCGTCCGCCCGTGGTCCTGCACCTCCTGCAGCCGCGGCAGGCACGGCTCCAGCGCTAAATCTGCCATCCCCAAGTTTTCTTTGCAGCTATGAAAAAGCAAGAGGGTTTTGCATCCCCCTCCCCTGCCTTTTGCCCTATGGGCTGCAGAAGTCACTGGCAGGCGGTGGGAGAAAGCACGACTTCGCAAGTATCTGACTAAAGCAGGATGCCCAAAGAACATATAAATGTTTTATAAATCAAAACTGTGGGTTTTTTTTTTTTCCCTTAAGCTTCTTTTTAATGACTATTAATTTGTCAGCAGTACTGTTCACCACATTTCAAGTCAGACAACAAAGTCAAGTTTGCTCCTTTACATCCAGCTTCAATTCCTGGTTTACCTCTGCAGGACCTCAGTGTAGCCTGAAAAATGCCCCGTTATGTTTCTCTTAATTGTTTTTAGTGGATTTTTAGTTTAGTAAGATACTGCTTTTACCCGATATACGTATGGACCCTGCATGTCTAACCCTCTGACAGCACAACCAGCAGCAGTGATTTCAGCACTGTCTGCTCTCTAGGGGCATGAATTGCTCCCTGACATCCCCAAGCTGGGACGATGCTCCACCACCAGAAAGGGTCTCTGCTCCTTTGGCATTGCCTACAGGAAGGCCGATCTCCAGCCTATTGTGCAGGAAATGATGTTTTCTTTGCTTTTTCAGTTAGGTCCAACGCAGTAGGAGAAACAGGTTGTGTGAGCACCCGTTTCGCTTCGTTGGTGTTATTTCTTGGCATCATCAAGGCTGTATGTTCATGGATCTGGTGACGTCCTACCAGGGAACATGTCTGTGATTGCTCCCAAGAGCGTGATCAGCTCTCACCCTTTTGGCCAGCACACCACCATCAAGGCTGTCCGAAGTGGACAGGAGCATCCTTCCCTCTTCAGAGGAATCCTTCTTCCAGGACAGCTCAGTGCTGACAGCCATACATTGCCCTAATCCCAATTCAATGCAGCTCATTCTTTCCCAGAGCTCTTAGGGCTATTATCTTCTCTAAACATACACGAGATCCTCTCCAAAACCTGCCTCCATTAACTAGTGAACCTCGTCCACCCCAAAGCTGTCTTTCCTGCTCAGCCTTGTTTTTTCCACAGCCAGCTCAGTTGCTTTGGCAGAAGTCCCAACTGCCAGTAAGGGCCATATCCGAAAAGTGACAGGATTTTAGGAGATCTCAGTTTACAGCCTGCCCCTAGGACATCGCCTCTTGGAGCAGCTGAGCCTCAATACCACCACTTAAGTCTGTGATGAGCTGTCCCGAAAAGCTTCTCCTACTTCTTGACTTCCAAAGACTTGTGCTGTCTTGCATCACAGCTCTTGCCTTTGAGAAGGACGTGGTGGCAGATCTCTGCACCATCATCCATCTCAAGCCCTGACATTGGTAAGCAGCCAGACAGCTGATACTGACATTTGCACTTATCTTCTTGGGTGGACAGGAGATAAATCTAGAGTGTCCCTTCTTGGCCGGAGAGGGCGTTGAGAGGGACGTTTGTTCTCATGTCTCTTGACAGTGAACGGCTGCAGGCCACGTCGGTGACCTGGACCTCAGAGCTGTGGGGAGTCGTACACAACGGCATTAGCACCACATAAAAGTCAATCAGCGGAGTGACAACTCATCCAACCTTTCTTCCCCAAATCATATTTCTTCTAAGAAAAAGAAAACACTCTACATTAGAGATTTTGGATA